CTGAGCCTGCGCGTCCGGAGCCTGTGCTCCGCAACGGGAGAGGCCACAACAGTGAGAGGCTCCCGGACCCCCAAAAAAAAAAAAAAAAAAACATGAAACACAATCCTGAGGGGGGCGAGGGAGGTGGGATTGGGGACCAGGACCAATGCCCTGAGGTGAAGCCCTGTCACTCTGGGCAGCGGCCACCCTCTCTGACACCAAGCGCTCCAGTTCCAGGTGCTTCCTGGGCCGGGATGTGGCATGAAGACCCGGCCCTGGTGGATCCTGCGTACCAGCCCTGGCCCCGCTGTGCAGCCTGGCTCAGCATCCCTTCTGCAGACTATCTGTGCCAAGCGGGCTTGGCTCTCTCCTGAGCGTTCGGAGAAACATTCTTTCTTGGCATTCTTAGAGTCCTGTCGTGGAAATTTAAATAAAAGAAATTCAGTGCTTGTGGGTCATTGATGGGGTACCTTACTGAGTTTTCCCTCAAGATTAGGGAGAAGCGCTCTCCCCAGATTTCTGATATGAGGGACTTACTAGGCTCTGTGACAAGCCAAAGTGGGGAAACTGCTTGGGTTCACCAGCCAGGACGAATTTAACAGGCCTCATCATGGCAATCTAAGTACCTCCCTGCCCTCGAGGGCAACCAAGCACCTGAAAGTCACACAACCTTCCTGTGGTGCCCAGGGAGGGCACCCTGGGCCCCGCCAGGCACACAAGGGGCCCTGCAGCTCTTGTTTGTGACACATCTTCAGTGCACAATTGAGGCCACTCTGGGCCCCTGCAGCCTACACTCACATCTTCCCTCTGAGGGAAGTCTGTGGAAAAGCAGTCAGGAGCGGGCACCGAGGAGAACCAAAGCCCTGGACTGTGCAGAGCCCTGCACGGAGGGCCACCTGCTGCTGCCGCTTCTCCTGCTCAAGTTTAATTACATTTCGGATTTTCAGCCAAGTAATGCACTCATACATTTTCGTTTTAACTTTCAGATCCCACAAGCCACAAACAAACAAACAAACAAACAAACTTATCTAAACTGATGGAGAGTCTGTATTAGGTCAAATTGTATGAAATTGCTGGTATCTGACCACTTTTGACCTATAAAATGGCAATTTTGTATGGTTCAACATAATACTAAAGCCTACAGCAAACATACTACCTGAAGATAAAAAATGGGAAAAGCATTCTCTCTAAACCAGGACAAATGTGTGGGTGTCAGCCACTCAATTTTCCTCCATGCTGTGTGGGGTCCTGCCCAGGACAGTGGGGTGAGAAAAGATGAATGGTGTGAGGCCAGAAAAGGAAGCAGCCCAGTCCTTACCCCAGATGCTACGTCCATCAACACACAAAAGCAAAGAGAAATACTGACACATGTGTTGGCATCAATCAGTTCAGAAGAGTTAATAGATACAAAATCATTTTACAAAAGTCAACTCTGTTCCAAATGACCAGCAACAGTAGGAAAGTGTAAGTTTAGAGGGATGTTGAAGAGAAACAGACTGGTACAGCTATTAGACAGACTATTATTCATCAATAAAAAGATGAGCTCTCAAGCCAGAAGAGACATGGAGGAACATTACATGCATGTTGCTAAGGGAAGGACGCCCATCTGAGAAGGCTACTTGTTGTTTGATTCCAACTCTGTGACATCCTGGAAAAGGCAAAACCATGAACACAGGAACAAGATCAGTGGTTGCCAGGGGTTAAGGGTGATGAATAGTGGAGCACAGAGGAGTTTTAGGGCCGTGAAACTACTCTGTGTGATGCTATAATAATGAACATGTGCCATTATACACTAGTCCAAACCCGTGGAAAGTATGCCAAGAGTGACCCCTGATGTAAACTGTGGACTGTGGTGATGATGTGCTAGGGCAGGCTCATTGATTCTAACAAATTAACCACTTTGTTGGGGGTTGCTGATGACACGGGAGGCTGAGCACGTGTGGGGGCAGGAGGTACACGGGAACTCTCTATACTTTCTGCTCAATTTTGCTGTGAATCTGAAACTGCTCTGAAAAATGAAGCCTATTTATTAAAAAAGTTTTGATAGCAACAAAAACAGATGACTATATTTTGTTAACCTCTGAAATACCTATATGTGACACACTATAAAGGATCTTCATGCATTGTCTGAAGGTATAGGCCAGTATAACAACTTGACAGTGTCATTCAACAGTATCTAAGGAAGAGAAAATGTACACAGCCTAGAACACAGCAATTCTGATCCTAGGTCCATGCCCGAGAAACTTCTGCACATGAGGACATCTGTAACAATGTTCACACCAAAGAAATGGTAACTGACCTAAATGCCCATCAATAGAAGAATGGATAAGTAAATGCTCGTGTATTCACAAAATAGAAAGAAAATACACCAACTTGTGCCTAGACCTGGGGTCGGCAAAGCACAACTTGTAGACCAAATCCTGCCCACCACATTTTTTGGTACAGTCTATGAGTTAAAATTGTTTTTTACATTTTTAAATAGTTGAAAAAAATCAAGAAGAAATGTATTTCATGACATGAAAATTATGAAATTAAAGTTACAAGGTCCATAAACTTTTACTGGAGCACATCCATGCCCACCTGTTTACATATCTCCTGTGCTGGCATTCAGGACAAATGCAGAGTTGAGAAGTTGCAACAGAGACTCTGGCCCTTATAGGCCAGAATATTCACTATTTGGTCCTTTACAGAGAAGGTTTGCCAATTCCTGAACTAGAGCTACATGTACCAACATATAAACAGTTGACCCTTGAACAACATGTGTTTGAACTGGGCGGGTCCCCTTATATGCAGAGTTTTTTCAATAAATATGCAGTACAGAACTACATGATCCATAGCTGGCTGAATCCACGGATGCAGAACCACCGATACAGAGGGACGACGGTAAAGTTAAATGTGGATTTTCGACCACTGGTGGGGGGTCAGTGCCCCTAACCCCCACGATGTTCAAGGGTCAACGGTGTACATCAGAAACACAGTGCTGAATGAGAGCATGTGTACAGAACGATGTACACACAGCTGGGTGTGATTTACACAGATTCTTCAAATATCTGCTGAGAGAGAGAAACACCAGACTCGGGGAAGTCTGAAGGGACCATGGATATTGCGGGCAGAACACTCAAAGGGGTTTTAACTTACAACATTTTGCTTATTAAGTTGGATGGTGTACACACAGGTCTCATTATATTAGTCTTTTTATCTTAGAAGTCTAAAAATACTTAAAATAAAAATAAATACATAAATAACAATATCCACCCAACAGAGAATAAATGGGAAAGAACAACCAAGAAAATTTTGTAAAGGAACAGAAACAAGGGCAAGCTGTTAACGTATTTGTAACTTATTAAAACATTACGAAGCTGCGGGATTCAGAGCAGGACAGCACCCGCTCAGGAGCAGACAATTCACTGGAACTGTACAGAAAGTAAATGCAGAACCCGAACCTAACAATGCTGCAGCATCAGGCCCATCGCCTACAAAGCACTGGCCTAACTTCTCAAAAATGCCAATGCTGTGAAAGACAGAGAAGGGCTGAGAAGTCGTCCAGGCTGAAGGAGACACGTGCACATACACGTGTGGGCTGCATGCCACACAGGTCCTGGACGGCCTGCTTGGTGGAAGAGGATGGCTGAAAAGAGGTGACTGGCAAAATCTGAACACAGAATATGTATTAAATTCTAGGACTGCATTAATGTTATGTTTCCTGATTTTGATAATTTATATTTTACTGCAGCTATATTTCAGGGAGTGTCCTTGTATTCTGACATACAGGGGCTCGATGTCTGCAACTTAGATCTACCTATTTCTCTAACATGTGGAGGAAGCAGAGGGAGGGAAGAGAAAGAATGGTAAAGCAAATGTAGCAAAAAGTTAACAGTTGGTTAATCTAAGTGAAGGGTATATGTGCTATTCTTGCAACTTTGTGTAAATTTGAAGTTATTTCAAAATAAAAAATTAAACACAAACATAAGCAAGAGTACAGATTTTTAGTACATGATAAAAATGTCAATTCAAAATCAGTGAGAAAAAGGAGGATACTTACTTACAGGGTACTATGACAATTAGTAAAATAGAACAACCAGAGAAACAGGTGAATATTTACCTAAACTCAAAATACAGGAAAAAACCTCTAAGCCAGAAAACAGTGAAATAAACCTTTAAAGTAGACTGACAGGGTTCATTAGATGAAAAAAAATTATCTGTGGATTTTTAAAAAAATGAAAAATTAAAAGGCAAATGACAAGTTTGAGAAACATGTGTAACAGAGAAGAATCAATTTCCTTAACACATAAAGAACCCCTACAAACTAACAAGAAAAATACAAACACACAAGTAGAAAAATTAGCTAAAAACTTGCATAAATAACCCACAAAAGAAGAAATATAAATGGCTGATAAATAGATTAAAAAATTTAACATTGCTCGGAATATAAGACATTTTTAAAAGATGCATTTTTTAAACTATTATGTTGGTAAAGATTTAGAAAATAATACCTAGGTAGGTAAAGCTATATAATAAAACATATATATATTATACTTTGTAATTTTGAAAAATAGCAGGAAACACACTGATATGTTACTGGCTACTATGTTGAAATGTTAAAAGCTGGAAACTTTTAAAATTGTGTTTACTGTATTTTGAAGTTTCTGTTATGAAATGAAGTATTTAAGCAATCAGTAAAAAGTTATTAGAAATAAGTTTCTTACGTAAAGGAGTGTTACCTGAGTTGTGAGACGGGGTTGCAACTGTCCCAAGCGTGTATCAGGTGCCTCACCTGAACCCTGGGCCTCAGGGGTAGGAAGGGGGTGATGAGGCAGCTTCCCTAAAATGAGATGAGGGAAATGGTTTGTCCTCTGTGTGCATATCACTTGGGTTTCTCTCGTGCTGAATACAAATACTCAGGAAGAACAGTATGTACCTCTTCAAAACCAAAGTCACTTCTCTTTCAAGAGAACTTGGGGGGTGGACACCTGTGACTTATACAACACACACCAGCATTTCAGCAGACTTCAGAACACACAGAAGCCTTCCACAGCAGCAGATACCCCTTATGCAGCTTCTCCAAGTGGCAGTCATGAGCCATCCATTAAGAGACCCAAAGACATACCCTCTCCACAGCAGAGAAAAATAAGAAGCAAAAGTTTAAGTATATACACTTGAGGATTATTCTTGTAATCAATGCTTCAGCAGTCTTCTTTGAAAATAGGCATAAACATCTTAGATTAACTTTATCTAAAACTTTTTTTTGCGGGGGAGGGGACTAACTTTTTTTGGCATGACACAGAAACAACCAACTATAACTTATCAGTTGCACTGTTCTTGCTATGAACTCTCAACAGATCTTTCACTTTTGAAAATTATTAGTAAATTAACCATGGCCATGTTAAGTCTTTGACATCTCCATGGACAAAAAAAATGTTGTCTGCCATTTCAATAAACAAAGAATGTTGCCTGCCACCAAGCTATCAGCCTCTGCAGCCACTCCAACTGTGCACCCTGAGGGGATTTGGGATGGAGAAAAACAGGACACTGTCCCTACATAGTTAAGATGCATATCAAAGGAATGATTTCAATGGGCCCAAGGTCTTGCATCGTCCCATAGGTAGAAAGGCACTAAAATCCTCGAGATGTCTGCTTTTTGTGATTAGCAGTAATCTTTTGATGTCTGACTACATATATATTGTTTCAGCAAAAACTCCTACATATTCTGTCTCCTCCCTGACCTCTTTGGAACAGTCTCTCAGAGCCATCTGACAGGCTACCTTCCCGGACTACAGTCCTCAGTAATGTTCTTGAATAAAACATAACTCTCAACTTT